AAGAAGAAGAATAAAAGGGGGTGAAAGAAGAAGAAGAAGAAGAAGAACCAAGAAGAAAAGGGGTGAAAGAAGAAGAAGACAAAGAAGGGGTGGGGGAGGGAAAAGAAGGAAAAGAAACGGGGTCAATTTAAAAATTATAAAATATAAAAAATTAAGATTTGGCCCAAATTACCTGCTGGTTACTTGAAAACCGGCTTCAGATACCATTTGTGAAAGGTTTTCAAAGTTCAGAGATTTTTTTGAAAGATTTTGAAGTTTAGGTACTGAATTGAAATCTTCGTGAAAGTTGAGGTACCACTTTTAAAATTTACCCGCCTCCAGCAATATCTGAAGTCTCAACTAACAACTAGGAAAGGCTTGGGTGGCAAATGCATGGTTGGAATTTTTCTTAAATTGTGTTTTTCAAAAAGACCAAAGAGTACTTTTGAAAACAATCTTTTTATTTGATTTTTCTCAGTCAAGCTTGTAAATTTTAACCCTGATAGGTGGAATAAAAAAGAGTTTAGTACGACATAAGAGTACACGTTGTTAATGTAATGAAAAATGGATAGCAGAGTAATATGAGAGTCAGATAAGTCAATCATAGGCGATCTACGACAACACTCCAGTGGCCGATGGGCGACCCGACAGATCGATGTCGGTATCAAGGTGATATTTTAAGAGTTGTAATGTGACAATGTGATAAATGCGACTAATGACTCATATTGTGATATTTTCATATTGGAGTATGGGTACGCGATATGTTGTAATGTTGTTTTACAAAAAAACATTTATATGGAATTGTCGAAAAATATTTACAAGTTTTGTAATATCATTTTTTAAAAATAAATAATAATATAGTATAAAAAAATTCGAAGTGGCGCTCAAGAAAAACAATACAACTTACAAAAAATGTAGTGAGTTATGAAATAAATAAATTAGCTCCATTGTGTAGAATAATTTGTTGTTTAATTATTCCCAGATTATTGATTATTGAAAAAAATAACTAATTTCACTTTTAAAACACTTAAATTTCGTAGAGTATTATTTATCAAAACATTTTTTTTAAAAAAATACACTTAAATTTAATGTTAGAAATTAAAAAACAAAAAAAGAGAATTTACCTAAAATAATCTCACCTTTCATTTATTTGCGAAAAATAGATATTTTCCAAAATTTCTGTTAAGTGGTCATTAGCTTTTTAATAGCGACCTCGCACACATGCGGGAAGATAGAATTATTTTCGGTGACAGTGAAAAATAGAATTAATTTTGAAGAGTGCGAAAAGATAAGATTATTTGAGGTAATTTTCAACATGTTAAATAACGGATGGTATGTTAGATAACAGATGATATCTTAGTTCCCAATTAAGTTACATGTTATTTTTTATGTTCCATATTTTGGTACTGTATTATTTTAGAAATATTTGCACTAAATAGCACTAAAACTTAAGTCATTTCCCTAAATAGCATTTAAACTGTTTTATTCTCTAAATAGCACTTATAATGTCCAGTGATGGCGAAATTTTGCTTGAATAATGACTAATGCATAATGACTAAAAGTGCTACATTGGGAAGAAAAACATATGTAGTGCTATTTAAGAAAAGTCATTATGTTTTAATGCTATTTAGGTAAATTTCTCTTATTTTACCATTTTACATTGGTTTAAAAAATTTAGACTCGCTACTCCTCAACTCCCATACTATTTTTAGTTCCCTTTCCATTTATCAGAATGCGCGCGCCCCAAATTACCTTTCACTCTGGATTTGCCATCGTTCAAGTAATTCCATACTACAACTAAATACACAAACAAGCTCCTTCAACATTCATTCTAAAATTAAAATCAATTCATTTGAAACACTTACTAAATTGGGAGTAAATACACTATTAATAGATAAATTAACCAATATTAAAGTTTTAAATCTATATATGGATTTTGTTTGGGGAAGTATAATGGACTTTTTAAACATGGCAATTAAATTAAAAAAAATTAAAGAAAATGAAAAAATTGCCACTTTTTGTAACAATAGGTACGAAGTATATACGGAGTACGTGATATTATTACTATATGAGCATTTATCTAAAAGATATTACTATATGAACAATTATCAATTCAAGACAATACCAAAACTTAAATTTTTATTCCTATATATTATTTGCAATTACCAATTAATAATGGCATCAATACCAATATGAAATTCTTAGCCGCCAAATTTCAAATGCCTTCAACAAACATGATTGAATCAAAGCATCATTATATATACTCACCACCTATTGAATCAAAGCACCATATATTCCTAACTAATACTCCCTAATATATTAGCAATGGCAAGAAGAAAAGCAAGGTTGGCCTACATTAGCAATGAAGCACAAAGAAAGGCCTCCTATAAAAAGAGAAAGAAGGGGTTGTTAAAGAAGCTCGAGGAGCTAACAATCCTATGCAACGTCGAGGCATGCGCAATCATGTATAGTGCCTTTGACACGAAGCCAGTTGTGTGGCCCTCGGTCGAAGGGATGCAACACATTGTTGCTCGGTTCAAGAGTCTCCCGAGCGTCGAGCAGACGAGGAGGATGCTGAACCAGGAGAGGTTCGTGCAGAAGAGGATTCACAAGCTGAGCACCACTCTAATCAAGTTGAGAAAAGAGAACCGGGAGAAGCAAATGATCGCGCTAATGCATCGCATCCTCGTCGGTGAGCACATTATCGAGCCCTTGAATACCATGGATTTGAACGATTTAGGTTGGGTGATTAACATGCACTTGGTAGAGATTAATAACAAGATTGAGACGATCAAGAAAGAGGATGGTGCCTCCTCATCAATCCAAGGAGGGGATTCTGCTATAAGCATGTCCAATTTCCTTGTCGGGTCTTCTTGTAGAGGTGTGGTGCTTCCAAGCATGTTTAATTTCCAGGGCGGGGCTTCTAGCAGCAGTGCGGTGTCTCCAGACATGTTCAACTTAATGGTTGGGCCTTCCACAGGACATGCGATGCCTCCAAGCATGTACAACTCCCAGGATGGGGCTTCTAGTAGCAATGGAACGACTCCAGACATGTTAAACTACCAGCCAGGTAGGGGCTTCTGGAAATTGTGTTGTGGCTCCGAGCAAGGTAAACTTCCAGGCTGGGATTTCAAGAAATAATACGGAGGCTCGAGGCGGGTTCAACAACCAACACGAGTAAGAGGAGGAAGCTCATATTGATGTTGTTGGCCTAAATCATTTGTTTCCTATGTCTAATAATTAAACTCCAATGATGGTGTGTAGTGGGTACGTAAGAAACAAATGAAGATGATGAGCAAACACAACTACAATCAAAATGATTCAAGTCAAGCGATGCCCTATGGCCTCCAAGAGTCCTTGAATGAAATTGGAATCATCGTATCATTTGGTCCTTTTCTAAAATGATTTTTCATGCATTATTATATTACACTAGTCGCTAGATTTATATGTTAATGCAGTAAATCTAAATACGGAGTATAATAGAATGGCATATTAAAACATGGAAAATCAATAAAATAATTGAATAAAATTAAAAAAATTACTATTTTTGTAACAATAAGTACAGAGTGTATACATTATATTATTACTATATCAGCATTTATAATTCAATGACGACACCAAACCCCATATTTTATTCCTTAGCAATAAGCAATTAATAATGACATGAAAATTCACATTTCAAATGTCAAATGCAAGTATACAACATGTTGTATCTAGAAGCCCTAAAGACCAATCTAGTTTTATTATACTCCCTCCGTCCCTTTTTCCTTTTCCTGTTTTGACTTTCAACCAATTTAAGGGGCCAAATTTTTGTCATTGACTTGACAAAATTACCCCCCAACCCTAATCTAATAAAGAGAAGAAAATAGTGTAAAGTAAATTGCATTTAATGTAAATGTACTTGCCCATCAAAAGTACAAAAGCAAATAGTGTAAACAAACCCATTCCCTCCCAACACACACGAGGGTAATGATGGGGGTTAGGCAAAAGTACAACACAGCCACACAACACCAGCCACAAAATCCATTCAAATACACACCAAAACATGTTTTTAAAATATTTGGCTATTTTTGGAGAATTTCAAAATTCCCTCCAGGGACATCCCTCCAAAAATAGCACACTTTNGATGGGTGAGGTTCTTCAAAACAAAGGGGGGAACCAGTTCAAAATCCCTCACATGAACAAAACAAAGATGGCCAGAGAAGGAACACTTCCACAGAATTTAGGGGTCAGCCCAGAAGTGTATCACACTGCACAAGTGTACTTACAGGGGCATGTGTGAGTACCTTTTGATATGGTACTTTTTTTTGTTAGTGCAACATGGGAAAGGAAGAGTACAATGCCTCTATGTACTTCCTATTGACTCCTATTGCACAAGTTTTTTGGCAGGCTATTGACAAGTGGTGTATCTGACTCAGTTGGAGTTGTACTTGCTTTTTTTGGGTTTTTGGGTTTTTGTAATGCAAGTGTAGCCTGTATAATTATCAGTAATGTAGCATCTGTATTTATCAGTTGGGTGTAATGTAGCATCTGTATTTATCAGTTGGGTGTAATGTAGCATCTGTATTTATCAGTTGGATGTAATGTAGCAGCTGTTATTATCAGAATAAATTTGATAATGATTTTCAGTTCTTATCAGAACAAATCAAGAAGAAATTAAAAAGCAATTTCGAGTGCAGATTTGAATCACTGGCAGAGAAGAATGAATAAAGCATAGAATCAGACTCTCACCACAACACTTTTGGCACAAAACAGATAAAGGGTTGACCAAATGGATAAAAGTATTCAGTAATGTAAGTCTCTAACCTATACGGGGTGACATTACAACTTTGCCAAATCAGTAAGAAGTTTGCATCATAAGTTTGCCACTTCAGAAAAAAATTAGGGCATGCAGCAGAAAACAGAGAGTAAAATTATAGAAAATAGCGAAATTATTCTTCCTGTAGCGAAGTGCCTTTGCCTCATCTCCATATGGCTCTTCGAAAACAATTTCTGTATCAGACATCGCCAGGATCTGTTCTGAGGTAACAGATTCATCATCTTCATCCTCTTCCCCATTTTCGACACAACCTTCTTCTTCTTTTGAAGGAAAAAAGTCACCCCCTAGATATTTTTTCCGGTACCACCATGTTGGATCTGTATCATCGGTTCCAGATGCAGTGTCCCCAGAGTCATAATCAGGGATTAAAGGCTTCGAAGTAGTTGGGACAGGCGTAAGAGCCAATCTCTCCTCATCACTATCAGATAATAGCTTGAAGCTTGGCATGGTAGGATCAGGAATCCCCATAAGAAATTTTAGATCAATCAAAGAAAAAGAGAAGGAAAATCTGAAAAGAGAAGGGTGCCGGCAATGGGGAAGTGGAATAGGCAGAGAGAAAGGAGACGGAGATGAGAAAATGAGTGGGTGAGGTGGAGTGAATTGATGGATAAAGTAGGTGGAGGGGTTTGGGTGGGTTGGGTAGCTTTAATTAGGGTAAAGGGTATTAGGCTCCAAAATTGTGAAAAGTGAAACACTTTTTGGGGCAAAAAAAAAACTAAAGGAGAAAGACTTTTCGGAACGGAGGGAGTATATAAATACTTATCAAAACTAAAATATCCTAAATATTGTTTAGTATCTAAAAGGCCCTGAATATTGGTACAAATATGAAGGCTACAACATCCTAATTATAAGGGTGTTACATTTCAAAGAGGTTATGTCTAAAACATCCCTAGTCGAGAATTGTGATAATATGCACATTACAATATATCAAGACTAAAACTTATGGCTATGAGACATAATAGTTATGTATTATAAGCTATAGATAATAGGTGTCTTAATCATCACTTAAGTATATATATTACTAGGTAATATGGTACTAGATTGAACCGACCATGAAAGTACTACACGGGTCTTACAAAAATGTATTACCGGTGCTTTCAATCTTTAGTGTATACACCCGTGTGCTTTGATAAATTTTTAGTGCCATCTAAAATAGAAGTGAGCATATAATTTTTTTGGGCATGCAACTAGGTATTTGTAGATATATGAATGATGTAAACAAAATTTATCTCTTTATGTATAGAAGTATAATGTCTATGAGTCCACATAATGTTCACGCTGATGCCCAAATAAGTTGATGTATGACATTAACATTATTGATTCGCGCAAGTCTACTTGAAAATCAGTAAACCAACGACTTAGCAATACAAGGTTACATGTCTCGTCCCTTGTTTTAAATCACAACATTAAGATTAAAAGATAAGATTTATACAATATCATGTGTTGTAAGGCTTATTGTTGCAATGAACATCATGTTTATAATTTGGATATTAAAAATGTGTTGCTAGATATCACTCATTTCTTATGATTCTAATTTGGATTATTAATCTTGTTACCGACATTATAGATATTTAGAGAGGGTCACACCCAAAGTACAATAGTATTAATATAGTCAGTGAACCAAGTGCATTTATTTTTGAATTTTAAATGGTATGCCACATAGATAAGTCAAGTCATTTTAATATTACATACTTAGGCTATGTTCAGTGAACCAAGTACATTTATTTTTGATATATCCTTTGTATATAAAAATAAGATTTAAATCTCAAGAAAGTCGACATGTTGTATATATTGTTTATATGGCGTTTTTTTTACTCTTAATATGCCACACAATTTGTGACGTGGAAAATAATAAATAATAGTTTGGTTTGAAATCAATGGGAAAATTTATTATGGAAAAAATATCTTCATTTATATGATAATATTCTTTCCTAATTTATATTTTTTCTCTTCATTTATAACAAAATTTAAAAATAATAAATTAGATACTCTCTTCACCTCTTAATATATTCAATATTTCTTTATGAGATTTTTAAATGAAGTTAGTTTTGATTTTATTATTTAAATATTGATGCAAAATTTAAAAATTAAAATATTTTAAAAACTATAATAAAACTTAACTCGCTCCATCTCAAAATAATTTACATCTTTATTATTGACAAATTTTAAATATGGAATATAGATCATTTTTATTAGAGTATTATTTCTTAATATTATATTTTTTTACTTCATTTATAATAATACTTTGAGTAAGTTTCATATTTTTTATGATATGCCGAAATGAAGATAGTTTTTACTCTATTTATTTAAACATTGATGTAAAATAAAAATATATATTTTAATCTCTATTTTAAAATTATATAAAACAAGAAATGCTTTGACTACTATTTAAAATAATCAAGTATTTAAATCAAATAAATATTTAATATGAATTTTGTACTTTATGTTGGAAATTTGACTTACTATTTTAATCAAAATAAGTTTGTGTAAGTATTCACTATATTTATGCATGAAGATAAGAAAATTTGAATAAGAGGGGACTCGCTTCATTCCTACACTTTCATTTGCATAATTATACATAGAAACGACATACGATAGTGTTTTATGAGACAGAGAGATGACATAGGTTTATGCAAAAAAATTGTGATAAGAAAGATCAAGATGGGTGAATGCTAGAATGTCTATGACAATGAAGATGGGTGTAAAGGCAATAAATAAAGCAAGAAAAAGTGCGGGAAGATCCAAGGTGCAAAAACGAATAAGATCAAAACTTGGAAAGCACATCAAAGAGAAATATAATTTCCAATTTGCAACTATTTATATTTTGTTAGAACATTTTGTATTGATCAGAATGCTACTATGCGTTTGAATGATTTTGCATTTTAAAGCAAAAAATAATAAACAGAATAAAAATATTAAATTTTTTTGTAAATTTCCCTTCAGAAATCAACCAAAAATAGAAGTAAAAAAATATTAAAAAATAAGAGTCACATGTTTTTATCTACAAAATGGTACTATTGCAATATAATGTGACACTGTATATTGACATTTCATTGTAATTCTTGTATTATATGTAGGTCTTATTGATATTATAGTTCTTATTTTGCAGATAAAACATAAACATTTTATTTTTGTTATTTTCTTATATTTTATTTCTATTTTAATCTTTCTCTTTTTCCCTTCAGAATCATTGTAGCACTACTTTTTTATTAATATTTTTTTTTTCAAAATTGATGCGGGGGATGGAGAAGAATTGTTGTATTTTATTTTTTTTCAAATCAATATTTTCAATAGTAGAGTCATAAGATCACTAGTCCAATATTTTATTTTGAAATAATGCAGTAGAGATGAATCAATTCATTTTTTTCGCTTATCTCAATTAATGTGGGGGAGAAAAATCATGTTTTTTAATTGTATAATCATAAGATCGGTAATTCGAGCTTTTTAAAATTTATGCTGGGGAAAAGATTCATAGAATCACTACGATTTTTTGTATTTTTTTAAATTTATACGGGAATAAAAATTATAGATTTGTATAAATTCAATAAATCTCGATCATTTCTATTTGATGTCTAAATGATATGTCTCATAAAAAACAAAGTCATTTTAATATTCCATATTATAGAATCACAAACAATTTTGTACCATCCCGTGCCTGGCACGGGTTAAAATACTAGTATATAAAAAAGGAGAGTTAACCTCCTAGAAATTTGACATGTGGAATGTCTACTAGGATATTTTTTACATGTCATCTTCCATCACATTTAAAAAATTGACATGTGGCAATAACAATGAGGCACTTTTTTTTTGACAAATTATCATTTATTTATGTAAGACAATACAAAAATAATTTGTTAGAAATTTATGAAACGCAATCAATTACAAGTTGAGTAAATATATAACATACTTAAATAAATATTTAACATTCACTCAAAAAACAATTCAACATGGGATTAAAATAAAATTGTTAAAATTTAATACTTTACATGAGATTAAATTAAAATTTTAATTTTTATTAAAAATAAAATTGTTAAAATTTTAATAAATCTTTTATATAAAAAATGAGACTTATATATTTTTGAGACTCCTTACTAAAAAAAATTTGACATGTGGCTTTTTAAAAAATGACAAGTAACTATGTGGCTCTTTAAAAATATCTTTAAAAAATTTGACATTTGGCTCTTTAAAAAATTGATATGTGGCGATATCTATGTGCATTATTTTTTGACAGATTCTCATTTATTTATGTAAGGCAATCAAAAAAACCAAATAAATAATTTGTCAGAAATTTATGAAAGGCAATGAATTACAAGTTAAGTAAACATTTAATATACTTAAATAAATATTTAACATTCACTCAGAAAGAATTCAACGTGGGATTGACAATTCAGTATACTACAAATAATACTTGACATGAGATTAAATTAAAATTTTAATTTGTTTTCAAATTCATATTATTAAAATTTTGATAAATCTTTTATGTATAAAAATGAGACTCATATCTTTAGAAATTTGATGTTTGTAATTATTATGTGATTTATTTCACCTAATTCCAGACTAGAAAATCATTTTCCTTTATATATAAATTTGAGACTCCTTACTCTAAGAATTCGACATGTGGCACTTTAAAAAACTAACAAGTGACTCTTTAAGAAATTGACATGTGGCGATATCTATGTGCCACTATTTTTGACAAATTATCATTTATTCATGTAAGACAATAAAAAAAACCAAATAAATAATTTGTTTTAAATTTATGAAAGGCAATCAATTACAAGTTAGGTAAATATATAAAATACTTAAATAAATATTTAACATTCACTCAAAAAAATAATTCAACGTGTGATTAACAATTTAATATACTACAAATAATACTTGACATGATATTAAATTAAAATTTTAATTTTTATTCAAAATAAAATTATTTAAATTTTAATAAATCTTTTATATATAAAAATGAGACTAATATAAAAAGTTGATATGTGTATTTATTATGTGATTTATTTCACTTAATTTTCAGACAAGAAAATATGAAATAAATATTTTAGGATGAAATTTTCTGAATAGATTTAAATATGAAATTCAGATTTTTGTTTTATTATAATATTCTTTTCTAATTCAATATTTTCTCTCTCTTTATGTATACCAAAGCTTTCAATTAATAAACGCGTAATTCTTTTCACCCTTAAAAAAATTAAACGAGTATTTGTTTAGGATATGCTTTAAAAAAAGTAATTTTGAATCTATTTGCTTAAATAATGATATACTCCCTCCGTCCCATAAAGTGTTACCCATTTTAACTAAAGTTGAAATTAAGGGAGGGATAATTTTGTGTTGACTTTCCAAAAATACCCTTGATGTGATGGGTAAAGTAGGATGTGATGTGTAGATTATTAGGAAAAAGGTATGATGTGATAGGTAGGGTTTGAAAAAGTAAGGGGTAAAAGTGGTTTTTTAATAGAAATGAGTAAGGGATTGTGGGACACAATTTTTTTAAAACCTGTAAATCTTTTTGGGGCGGAGGGAGTAAAATTTAAAAATACTATATGATTGGTTTATACTAATCTTCAACTAGAAAAATTACTACACATAATTTAATAGTTTAAATATATTAATTTTATGATTTGATTTAGGCTTTGTTTGGTAACAGCGTTTTCGATTAGCGTTAGCGTTTTGGATAAAATTTTAACGGTGCAGATTAATTCTGAAAACGCTAACGCTAAAGGCTACCGTCGGATAGCTTTTTCAAAACGCTAACGCTAATCTCTGACGTTAATGCCAAACGGGGCCTTAATGACTAGAAAACTTATTATGTTTTAGACCATTTATGATCTAAATTTAAAAATATATTATTTTTAATTATCTATTAGCAAATGATACTTAAATTAAAATATAGAATATAGTTCATCAAAATATGTGTCACTGATGGGTGTATTTCACCCAAGACCGGTCAAAGGAGAAGGCCAAATCTTTGACCGGTCAATCTCGAAAGTTTTGGAAGGGAGACTTTAATCGTCAGCAAAACGATGTATCATCGGCCAAAATATGACCGGTACATTTCACAAAAAGTATACCGGTCAAACTACGTTGTCATCCCATTTGTTCCAGACTTCGATAAATTCATCCCTCGGAGATTACCCGGTGTAGTTTCTGGGGTTGGAAAGTGTCGGCAGGAGAGGATCTGCGAGGGTTTGGCGTGTAGCGACCCGTGTCAGTAGAGGACAACTGGAGATGCTGAAGAATCCATCCAAGGCACTACTTGACAAAGGGAATGATCTCCTTCACAAGGCGACAAGGCAGCTTGAGGACGAAACCAGTCACCTCGCACCACATCGGCAGCATGCCCCCACGTGGGCGCACGTGGTCCTGTCCCCTTGACCTAGTATAAATACTCATGTAAACCTCAGAAAGAGGGATCCGAATTCACTCTCTCTAAACTCCCTTGTAAAAGCACCCGTGCATTCTCCGTTATAATATAAATTGGGCTACAGGTGTTCCACCTAAAGTCCTACCGGTCAACTTGCGTGATTTTACCTTTCTTACTTTCCCAAATCAAGCGAACTATTCTAGACCCGGTCTAGTATAGTTTGACCGGTCAAGTAATTTACACCATCATTTTTGGCGCCGACCGTGGGACCGTCAAGGTTTCTTCTCCTAAACACAAACCTACCCACCAAAACACCACTCGAAATGTCTTCCAGCCAACAAATCAACGCTACTTCCGCACAGGTGCAGGCCACCAATGAGGGCGCTAGCATCCCTGTGGCTGCTACCATACTGGTCATTTCAGCCCCGGTGCTGCCTCTGGGCCTGAGCTCTGTCCCGACGGCCAGCGTGATCAGTCCCTTCGTGACCCCCGTCCCTTCCGCTGGACCGAGGGTAACATTCTCACCAAGCATGACTCAGTTCATGAATGACCCAGCCAACCTACAAGCCATCCAGGGCTTTGGCTAGGTCATGGCCATGTGCCAACAGAACGGGGGGATGCCTTTCCTCCCCGGTATGTACCCATTCGCCCTTCCAGGCGCGGGGACCATGCCTCTACAAGCTCCGATGGCGGTGACGTCGTTCCAGACGCCGATGCCGCAACCATCACCTTTCCAGCCCCAGCTGGTCAGCACCATGGCCCCTGTCAACTTGGCCGGTGCACTTAACGCTGCAGGGCCGTCGCATCCCCCGCAAGCTACGGATCCGCAGATCACTCCTGATGGTCATTGCGTCTCGATTGAGAGTGATGACGGCGAGTGGGACATCCCAAGGGCCCACAAGAAGAAGAAAGGAAAGAACATCCGGCCAGCAACCTCCCGAAACTCCGCCTTCGAAAGGCTGGGGGATAGGGAGGAAGGCCAGAGGAAGTCAGCCAAGCAAAGGCTGGGGCAGAGTGTTGCCCATGTCAGCGCGTTCGCCCGGCTAGGCGAGGTGCGGGAGGCCGAGCCTGCCCGCACCCGGCGCTCCCGGTCTAACCGGCAGGAGCCAGCGAGAACGAGGGCCTCCCACCAAGAAGGGGAGGCAGAGAGCCAGCCCAGGTTACCGGTGGCGAACCGGTTAACCGTCCCAAACGACCGCGTCCAGCAGATGGAGGCAAAGCTGGAAAGACTGGAAAAGAAGGTCGGGGAGAAGAATGACCGGGGCAAACCCCTGGCAAGGTCCCCGTTCACCACAAGGGTCCATCTGACACCTTTCCCGCGAAAGGTCAAGATTGACGCCCCCAGATTCACCGGGAAGGAAGATCCGGAAATCCACCTGGACTCCTTCAACCAGAGTGCGTCCATGAACGGTTGCACCGATGAAGAAAAGTGCCTACTTTTCTTCCAGACCTTGCGGAACCGAGCCACTGAATGGTTCAATAAGCTTCGCCCGGGAAGCATTGACTCGTTCGGTGATTTGGCCTCAAAATTCAAGGCCAAGTTCCAGGAGAATTGTACTAAGAGGAAGAAGTTCACCTATCTTAGTACAGCCGGGCAGA